AAAGCTCTCAAGCTGGTGACTGCTACTCCAATCTACAAATCTGAAATGGGGAAATATCATGAGCTAAAAGCTCAGTAAGTATTAAGTTAGAACTACAAACTTGGGTCTTAAGACCCTTAGACCTACACAAACATTTTAAACCAAGTGACATAATATTATAAATCTTAGTATTTAAATAAAAATTTAATATCACAAAGTTGTTCATAGTCAATCAAACTTTTAAGGAATATCTAATGACATTTGAATCAAATCCATATCATAAAACCGTAAGCTCACAAATGTGATATCACAAGCATAATGCATAAAACGAAAATCACACAATGCTATGGGTCAACTGATGTATGCTAGCAACACTTATACTGGAGCTAATCACGGCACTCACCCTACTGCGCAGGGATCCACTAAATACCCTAGAGGGTCCACTAAATACCCCAAACCTTAAGCTTAGGTCCACTTACTCCATAGTCTCAAACACATACAAATGTCCAACAAATTCAAAACACTTTCAAAATAATATAAGAATATTATTTCATTTACGTTTCACAAAATCAGTTCCATTTCTAAAACAATCCACTTTAAATATCCCATCCAAAGTCATGGACAGCACTCCAAATTTCAAATGAATTAATTTGTCATATTGATTCGTAAGAAAATCACCACACAAAGCAAGCACATGAAGTCCACAGCAGTATTTATCAATAAAATTTACAATAAACTCAAGTATGAATAATAAACACATCATGGATTCATTCCCATACAAGCCCCAAAATTGTGTATATTTCTAACAAAATTTGTGATGCCCAAAAAGTCTCTTAAACTAAGATTTTAAGGTCAAATCTCTGTAATTTAAACTAATTTCTAGTATATCATGATAGATTTATAACCTACCCAAAACTCTAACCCAAATTTGTAACTAAAACTCATACTTATGGAAATCAAAGCACCAAATTGAAGAAATCAGCAGAATTTGGAAGGGAATCTGAAGAAAACACACAGTAAAAGCAACGGCAGCTTCCCTCTTTCACCCTCACAACTTGGACAAATGCAGGGGAATGGGTTTCGGGAGGTTAAGTCAAAAAGAAAAAGGGATTTTGCTTTCTAAAATCTTCTAGAGAAAGCCTCCGGTGACTTGGTTCACAAATTGGCACATGTCTCAAATTTTGGCTAATATAGCTAGATAGTTCCCAACTATCTTAAAATTTCACATAAAGTCCACATACTCTAAATCTAGTCAATTTAATCTCTAAAATTATAAAATAAAGGACTCTAATTTCTATTCTATTCACTAAAGTATTTGGGGTGTTACAAAATGAACAAGTTTCCTTGTGCCATTAGAACCTAAGGCAGCCATCTCATCAAGCATAGCTTATTGCCATCTTAGAGCAAAAAGTGCTTCCTGTACTATTTTGGGAATTGGGACTGAGGGTAAAGTGGAAACAAAAGCGTAATGGCGTGAAGATAAATGATGATAACTTGAGAGATTATAAATGGAATATAGATTACTAGTGGAGCGAGTACTTGTGAAGGTCATTAAGATGGACAATCTGCGGAGGCTTTGGTGCAGGGGGTGTGTCACTTGGATATCTTCAGTCTTTCTGATTAGATGATCCTTGTAACTTTGACCCACAAACCAAAGCTCAAAAGATGCGGATCAGGATAAATAATTTGAGCCATTCCACTTTTCAGAAGTGATGGTAGGAGTAGCAGAGAAAGTAGATAGAAAAGTGTTGCTGGTTTAACTGTATCTGAAGGCTCAGATGACAAAGTTGACATATTTGAGATGGAGATTTAGATGTGAGAAATAGGAATTGCACAAACTATTTGATAAGAGAAATCACAGCAACCTTTCTGTTTAAAAAAATAGGACATGACACTGGACAGTGCTGGAAGAAATGAAGGGACGGTAACTGGAAACAAGTAGTGCCTGCTTTGATACCAAGTTGTTTGTAATGAGATTGTGATGATTTTGTATTGATATCAATAAGATACATGTAGAGTCTAGTTATACAGAATCTAAAAATTAGTTCCTATAAATCTTTTAACAATCCGTGTGAACCTTAACTATCAATCCATTTGAATCCCTACAAATCAGCAACTGATTTCAACACATTCAATGTGGGGCACTGGGCAAATTGTCATCACAAAGTGTGGGTTTTTGTCAAAGCACTTCACTTTTCACTAATTTAAAAAGCCTGTACTTGTTTATGATATTGATTTATATCATTTCCCACATTGAGCGTCTATTTTCTTCCCCTATTATTACTAATTGCTCACAACATCCTAGATGATATTTTCTTTTTATTGCAGGAAATATATCGCATCAAACTTCCAGGTCCAATAAAGATTGGTGAAGGGAAACCTGAAAATCAAAATCATGCTATTATTTTCACTCGTGGAGAAGCATTACAGACTATAGACATGAATCAGGTGCCTGGTTAATTCTTTTTTATTTAGAAAATATAATATTAAATATCTAATGTGTTCTACTTTTTTCAGGATAATTACTTTGAAGAGGCATTCAAAATGAGAAATATTTTGGAAGAATTTAAACACTCATATCATGGGCATCAAAAACCTACAATATTGGGTTTAAGGGAGCATATATTTACTGGAAGGTAACTTATCACTTTTCTATAATTTTTAATTCATCTAGATAAGCACAGTGGCTAGGAACAAGGAATCAAATGATAAATTTGCAATATTTACTGGAAAGGACTATTGTGATTCTTTTTTTTCCCTTCTCTTTCAGTGTTTCATCACTTGCTTGGTTTATGTCTAATCAAGAGAACAGCTTTGTCACTATTGGCCAACGCTGTTTAGCAAGTCCTCTAAGGTAAGCTTTTTGTTTATTATTATTATTATTATTATTATTTTAATGATAGGTAATCCCAAAATTTTTATCCAACATGCCCCTTCCATCAACTTATGATCTTTTTGCCATTGTGGCTTAAATCATTGCAATGATCTATCCATTATACTAAAAATAAATTTGGTATGTCCTAGACAGTACGGACATATACAAGTGTTGTTGGACGTGAACATGTGTCAACACATGTAAGTATCTAATTAAAAATATTTCTCTTTTGCTGGAGACATTTTGAGCACTTTTTTTTTTTTTTATAATTTTAGTTTTTTAACTTTCTAAGTTTATTTTAACATAATCTCTCTTGTTTTTAAACCAAGTCATTACTAAGTAAAATTTCTATCTTTAATTAAATAGTCCATTTTGTAGTCAGAAGTCTCAATTTGATTCATATCATCTTCATTGCTAATGTCATTGACAAAACCATTGAAGAGTGTGGCTTTCTTCTTTGTTCGATTTATCTATGTATGAGATTATGCTTTCCTTTGTTCACATATATTACATTAGTATTCTACCTTTGTTTCAAAATAATAATTTTTTTAAATGTATGAGATAGAATGATTTTTTATTTTATTTTATTTTGGAAAAATGATTTTAATTTTTATGATGATGAATAATTAATTTTCCATGTGTTAAAATTTTCCATATTACTATGTTATTGTTGTACCTGTTTCCTGTGTTCCTACTTCTCGGGGCTAGTAACCAGTCCCTTGCTAAAGTTGACAAATTTTAGTTATATCTTTTTAATCGTTGCATCATAATAAATTTCAGACTGTTTTTGCACTGGTGTTTAGTTAACATGCAAAAGCATATTACAAGTTGTTGAATGTGTTAAGAAATATGAATGAATATGTATGTGTAATGTATTCCCATCAACTTAATATCTTGGAATTAATGGTTGTTAATATGCCAATGGAACCTATTTTTTTGACCTAATGCTACAAATATGGGAACTATGTGCCCTACTCTTATGTTTAAATTCTGCATCACCATGGGGTTACATTATGGGGTACATGAGTATATTCATGAAATATTCAAGTTAGTCTCTTGTGCAACAACTAAATTTTCTAGGTTGAATGGTTTTTACCAGACCCATGGTTAGTCAAAGTTAACTTTGATAAGTTGTAAATTAACAGGAAACATGGGTTTAGTAAAGCTGAATCAATTCTAGGAAACCTAATTTACCTGGATTGCAACATCTCATACAAGAAATACTAATCAGGTCAGCATTAGGACAAAAAATTAACTTAAAACCACAAGTAGAATATCGTCAACATAGAATAGCTCTGAAGCAGCTTCCAAATTTTGTTAACATAGCAAAAGTATGCAACAATAATCATGATCCAGTTAGAATATCATCAAAAAGAATGTCAGAAAGAGAGAAGACAGCCCAAGGGTTTTGTTGAAAACTAAACTAGAACAAAAGAAAGAGTTTGATCTAAAATGAATCCAAATATGAGCACTTATCCCTAAAAGCTAATAAAACATCCTATGTATAATGTTCGAAGATTTGGAGCTTGAACTCCTATTGATCTAATGAACCATAGCCTAATTTGAATGCAATAAAAATAAGTTAGTCCCATAACTCTGGTTTCCTCTAAAGAGTTACCAAAAGAATTTAGGGCATATATTTCAGCATCATTGTCAATTTTATAGAACTTAATAACTATGATTCTATGATTGTTCTTGTTGTTATCATGTTGGTATCTTTGCAGGGTGCGGTTCCATTATGGTCATCCTGACATATTTGACAGAATCTTCCACATAACAAGGGGTGGCATCAGTAAAGCTTCAAAAACTATTAACTTAAGTGAGGACATATTTGCAGGTAATTAATCTTCAGTTATTGAAGTATCTGGTTTGAATGTTCTGGTCGTTAATTGCACAAAATTCTCAGGGTTCAACTCAACTCTTCGCGGGGGATATGTAACACACCATGATTATATCCAAGTTGGAAAGGGGCGTGATGTGGGGATGAATCAAATATCTTTTTTTGAGGCAAAAGTTGCAAATGGAAATGGAGAGCAAACACTTAGTCGTGATGTATATCGTCTTGGACATTGGTTTGACTTCTACAGAATGCTGTCATTCTACTTTACAACAGTTGGTTTCTATTTTAATAGCATGGTATGCAAGATTAAATTTATTATACTTGCTTACTAAGTTTTAGCTAGTCTAATTCATTAGGTTTGTGGTTAAAACTTGACAAGGTTAAATTTCATTGCTTAGATAGGTAGGTATCACAGGATTCATAGCTTATCAATCTGCGATAAAGGCATTCATTCTCTAAAACCTTAGCTGTGGATCATTACTGTTGTGCTTGTTTAATGGATAGTTGATTGAGAAGTCAACTCGCCTCACATATGCTAAATATGTAGTCAACTTGGAAATTACCAATGGCATCAAAGTTTTCTGTATATAAAGGCACTTACCTGCTTCTGTTACAAGATCTTTATTATTTGAGTTTTGATCTATTCTTTTATATTGACCCTGCTCAAACTCTTTCAAAATGGGAATGAATATGGGTTGCTCTGATTTTCTATTTTGTTTTTTCAGGTTACTGTGCTTACTGTGTATGTATTCTTATATGGACGTTTTTACATGGTTATGAGTGGACTGGAAAGAGATATCTTAAACAGTCCAAGCATACATCAGAGCAAGGCTCTTGAGACAGCTTTGGTTTCTCAATCTGTCTTCCAGATGGGCATGTTGCTGATGCTGCCCATGGTTATGGAAACTTGCCTGGAGAAAGGATTCCGCAAGGCTCTGGGTGATTTTATCATCATGCAGCTGCAGCTAGCCCCTGTTTTCTTTACATTCCAGCTTGGAACAAAAGCACATTATTTCGGCAGAACAATCTTGCATGGTGGCTCTAAATATCGTGCTACTGGGCGTGGATTTGTGGTTTTTCATGCAAAGTTTTCTGAGAACTATAGACAATACTCGCGAAGTCACTTTGTGAAAGGATTGGAGCTGGGAATATTGTTGGTCCTGTATGAAGTTTATGGGGGATCATACCACAGTTCAAATCTTTATTTGTTTATCACATTCTCTATGTGGTTCCTGGTCGTATCCTGGTTGTTTGCTCCATTTATCTTCAATCCATCTGGTTTTGATTGGCAAAAAACAGTTGATGATTGGACAGATTGGAAGCGGTGGATGGGAATTCATGGTGGTATCGGGATCCAGCCTGATAAAAGTTGGGAATCATGGTGGGAGGAAGAACAAGATCACCTCAAATATACAACTACATTGGGTATGGTGCTTGAGGTTGTCCTTGCACTTCGCTTTTTTGTCTACCAGTATGGAATTGTTTACCACCTTGATATAGCCCATCATAGCAAGAGCTTCCTGGTATAATTTGTTAATCTCATTTATATGGTTATCTTTTGTCCAATCATTTTCCTCTTGATCTGTCAAATAATTTAATGCTCCATCTTACCATCGTTAGCTTTTATTATGTACTTTCAGGTTTATGGATTCTCCTGGGCCATTATTGTAGTAGCAGTTGTAGTCTTGAAGGTATGCAAATGTAACTCAATTATGAAACAACATAGCCTAGGCTGAATCATTGGCAAAACTAAATGAATGTTTCTATAAGGAGTGGATATGAGCTATTTATTTTGTTTTGCATTTTTAGTTTAAGTGTTTTTTTTTTTTTAAGTTCTTTAAGCAGTTATTGATTATTTTTTTTTTCCTTGCTATCTTTCAACTAGAAAATAGAATATGAACTACATTGTTTTGTTTTATTCTGCTGAATCTTGTTAAGAGGCATACGGCATGCATGCTTATATGATCTATACATGCATCTTCTCCATGCTACTACAGATGGTATCGGTGGGTAGGCAATTCTTTGTTGGAGACCTTCATCTACTGTTCAGGATGCTCAAGGCTTTTCTTTCAATTGCCCTATTAGCAATCCCAATTGTTTTATTCAAAGTATATGGCCTCAATGTTTCAGATTTATTTGCTGCAATCCTTGCCTTGACACCCACTGGATGGGGCCTCCTCCTTGTAAGTTCTGAACTTCTCTGAATCTTCTTTGTTACATCGTCTTTAATGACATCTCTATGTCAAACCTCGTTTGAGAATTAATGATTTTCAATTAAATGAGTGGAAGAATTTTTCTAACCTAACAATAGGTAACTATTTTTAGAATAAAATCCTTGGTTTAGACATGTAATGATTTGATTTTAAAACTACTACTTTTGGTGAATCATTAAATATAAAAATATTTGGTAAACTATTGATTTGTGAATGACCTTACCTTTTGATAATGAAATGTGAACTAAGTCGATGTTTAACCATTTTTGGTGCTGTGTAGATTGGACAAGCGTTCAGACCATTTTTGGAAAAGCTATGTTGGGATTCAATAAAGGAGGTTGCCAGAGCATACGATTACATGATGGGTCTGCTGCTCTTCACGCCCATCGCCATTTTGTCATGGTTCCCATTCGTATCAGAACTCCAAACACGTCTGCTGTTCAATCAAGCGTTCAGTAGAGGTCTTCAAATCTCTATGATTCTTTCTGGAAAGAAAGATAAGTAAAGTCTCATCTAATTAGTAATTATTTCACCAGAAATGAAAATCTTGTTGGGGTTGTAGCATCTCTGTGATGGTTTCTGATTGATACTTTTCAAGGTTAGGATTATCATCAGATCATTTGCTCCGATTTTACATTTTTTGATTTTTTGATGTTCATTCATCTTTTGCACTTCCTTTTTGGGTTAAGATAGCACTTGTTTGATTTATTGAGTTTGAATGGGGAGTTGAACCTACAATATCAGGATCTGCTTCAGAAATTGGATTAAAGATCCCAATCATCAATGGCTTAATGCCTGGATTGAAAGGAGGAAAACCAAGTTGCTTGTTTATTCTTATATCTAATTTAAGTGTATGAAGAGCGGGTTTCGTTGATGAAAAGCTATTTTTCATCACACAATAAAATTAAACCAAATTAAGTAGAAGGTTAAAATCTCATTTGGTCTCTCTATTTAAATAAAAAAAAAAAATAGTCTCCTTACTTAAAGGAAACTCCTTTTAGTTTTTATAGTTTATTATTTGGGTCATTTTTAGTCTTTTTGTAATTTTTTTTCACATATAATATGTTAAATAACAGAAATTTTAAAGTAAAGAGATTAAAAATAGATTTTTTTAAAAAGTAAAGGAATCAGAAAAAGGGCTGTTTTAGTTTTTTTTTTTAATTTTTTTTATTTGAAATTCTTGTCATTTAATGTTACATGTGCAAAAAATAATGAAGGCATTAAAAATAAATTGGATAATGAATTTTAGAGCTTAAAAAGGGAGGAACTAAAAATGAATTTTTTTAAGTAAAATGATTAAAAAATGATTTTTTGTTAAAATAGAGAGATTAAATTAGGGTTTCAATCTAAGTAAAAATAACATGAAGTATGAATCATTCGTTGATTTAAGAACATGAGATATCAAGTTAAAAATATCATGTTTGTACCTTGAGTTGGGTGAGAAAAGATTTGAAAAAAGAGAATTATTTTTTTTATATAATTTATCATCAAATGTATAAAAAAAATAAAATAAGAAATAAATATCATGAATTAAAACAAGTGCTTGGACCATCAATCTAGCACCATTATGTCATTCTATTTCTGGTTGTCTCTTTTGTGGCTTCTTTCTTAAGTGGATTTTTGAGTGCAACTTCCAAAACCCAACGAGGAGTCTAACAGAAGTGATTTTTCAACATAGGCTTTCAAATTAGACCACGATTTCTTTAAAGATTTAACATAAGTAATTTGTTTTTCCGTAATCACTGCGAAGTCTCATCGCCTAAGGGCCTTGGTGAGGCAACAGTGCACTTACACGTAGGTACGTTTTTTTGGATAAAAATCTACTTTTAGCCCCCCTTAATAAATTTATAGATTTTAATTTCTCATCTTATACTATAAAATTTTTAGTTATTTACTTTAATAAATTTATAGGTTTAGCTTTTCACTTTATAATATGGATATTTTTAATCCTTCATCTATACGAGTTAAAAAAAATAACCCTTATTTAAGGTTAGGTTATAACATTCTGTTAGTTTTGTTAGTTGATTGTTAATTCTGCTGATTGACTATTAACTCTATTAGTTGATTGTTAATATTTATTAACATTCCGTTATAGAAAACATGAAATTTAAATTCAATTTTATTTACTAGTTTCATTAACAAAATACTAACAGAACATTAATAATCAGTTAACAAAGTTAACAATTAGTTAACAGAACTAACAGAATGTTATAACTTAACCTTAAGTAAGGATTATTTTCTTCGACTCATATAGGTAAGGAATCAAAAGTGTCATGATATAAGGTAAAGGGTTAAAACTTACAAATTTATTAAGATAAAGGGCTAAAAATATTATAATATTAGACGATGAGCTAAAACCTACAAACTTATTAAGGTAAAAAGTTAAAAGTAGGTTTTAGCCCCCTTTTTTGCAACAAATCTTCATAAAAGACATTATTGGCCATATAAATTTTCATGTCGGACAACCTTTTCTATAACACTCCACATACCTTAGTGAATAATTTAAAAATTAGAGTTATTTATTTTATTGTTCTAGGGATTAAAGTGAGTGGATTTAAAGTTTGAGGGTTTTAAGTAGAACTTAAGAGGAGTTGAGGGGCCTTAACTTCATTATTCCAATTTTTTTTGCCACATGGCATTATTCCCACCAAGACCCATTCGGTTAGGCTTAAAGATAAGTCTCCAGAAGTCTCCTGAACCTACCATTGCTCTGCGTTTTTTTTTTCCTTCTTGCGGTCATTCCCTGCGTCTTTCTTCCTTCTTCCTCCAGCTAAGATAAGGTGCTTGGTTTTCAAGTATAAGTTTTGATTATGAATTTGGGTTAGAGTTTTGGGTAGTTTATAGATTTGTTGGAATATGTTGACAATTAGTTTAAATTTATGAGATTTGACCCAAATCCTTCAGTTTATAAGATTTTTGGGCATTAAAACTTCATTAGAAATATCTTTAATTTTTGGGGCTTGTATGGGATGGATGATAAGTCATTTTTCTTTTTTTCTTTTTTCCATGCTTGATTTAGTGTGGATTTTATTGATTAATACTGCTGTTGTTGCTTGTATCCCTTACATAATTAAGTTAGAATTTATATAGTTAATTGATCCTGGTTGAAACTGTGCGTGAGCTAGGAAGCAGATAGTTATTTTTTTAATTACTGTTCATACACACTGTTTACGCATTAATTACTGCTCACGTGTTACTGTCCATGCATTACTGTTCACGCACTATACTTTAATTTCTTTCGATTGGGAGTTCTATAGAATATGTAAACTGTGTATGTGGATATTAGTATGAACTTGAATTGTCCACGCCACTGATTAATGAGAACATTAAATAGAATAATATTCTAATATTATTTTGGACATGTTCTAAACTTGTTTGACATGTGTATGTGTTTGTGGTTATGAAGTAAGTGGACCTAAGTTTAAAGCTTGGAGTATTCAGTGAACCTTTCGGAATATTTAGTGGACCTTTGTGCAATAGGGTTAGTATTGTGATGAGCTTTAATACAATGTTACTAGCACATATCATTGGACTCCATAGCATTGTGTGATTTTCAGTTTTATGCACTATGCTGGTGATATCGTATTTATGAGCATATGATTTTATTATAAGAATTTGATTTAAATGTCATTGATTATTCCTTAATATGTGTGATTATGATTTGAGATATTAAGTTTTTATTTAAATGCTGAAAACTATAATATTATGTGATTTGGTTCCGTTATATGCTCTTTGTGTGTATAGGTCTAGGGGTCTTAGGACCCAAGTTTATAGCTTAAACTTAATGCTTATTGGGCTTTTAGCTCATAAAATCCCCTCATTTCAGATCTATAGGTTAGAGTAGCTATCACCAACTTGGGAGTTTTGGTAGAGGTCTCATATGTTCATTGTACGTAAAAGGTAGAACCTCGTGCTTTGGACATGGAAGTAGATCAATGTGTTACCAAAACGACAATTCTGCTTTTGATATTTTGAAAAGCTTTTGAGAAGAATTTGCCTTATATGATTTTGTGTAAATTACTTTTATATCTATAATATTCAAATTAATTAAATGAGCTTAGATCAACTTATTTTATAACTCTGAGTATTTTAACATTTCCTTATGAGATTTTCTTGTTAAAGTAGTTTCCTTCACAAGTGTTTGATTTTCCTTTTGTAAACTTTTAAATTGATTTAAAAGTAAATTTTCTTTTAAAGAAATATTTTATAATAGAAATGTTTTTACTTTTGCTGCAATCTCTTAATATAATTCTTATTTTTAAACTCTTTTGGGACTGAGAATACCTAGGAGAGGTGTGTTATATTTTTCAATCTCTTTTATTTGAAGGAAGAAAGGGGGAGATAAGGCAGCCAAGGGGAGATCATTTTATCCAATTAAATTATATGTTGGTTTAATGTTTGAATTTAATTGGACAAAAT